ATTCGACTTGTTAGCAACACCACCTCTACTTTCTTGGATATCACGACACGAGCATTTTCTTGTCGGATGTGTTATATCAACTTTTATCACAAATTGCCGCAACTAAAGAGAGTGGGATTGCACAGTACGACTTACTGAAGAAGATAAAAATTGACAGTCGGAACATCACGTATTACATCAACAAATTAGTCGAAGCGGGGTTAATCAAGAAATTTCCGATTTTAAAGAACTCGTGGAAACTTGTGTTGTCCCTTTTGTGCACGGACCCCACTGTTTCTGTTGGGAACAGTGAAGACGAGGTCACGCTGAACTACTGCGAGCAATTTAAACACATTTTGGAAGAGAATAGAGGAAAGAATGTGCCACAAAGTGTTATAAGAAAAGAACTTGGGCTCTCTGGATCTGCCAACAAAAAGAAATTTAGTTCCATTGGGAAGTTTGTGAGTCGCAAAGGGATTGGCGTGTGTTACCAAGCGAGAATAAAGGATGGCGGGAGAAAGGTATCGACCTTTTGGAAATTGCAAGAGGACAACGCCGAAGTGATGCCAAGTCAAATTGGGATGAGCCAAATTGGTGGAATTGAGAATGTCCCCCAAAGCCAACTTTCACAACTATTTCAAAGCCAAACACAAATGAGCCAAAGCGTTGTGTCACAATTGGAAGCTTCACAAATGGCTCAAGGCGATTCAACACAAATCACTGAAATAGCAAAAGAGAATGAAGACGATGAATCGTCGGGGTATATGGGGAAAAACAAAGCACTGTTGTTTGATTTATACAGCTTGGTGCGCGATACACCAGAAGGCGTGAGAATCAAAGACATTGCGACGAAACTTAAAATGTCAGTGAAGTTGGCAACACGACTCACACAGTTTGTATCTAACACCAATTTGTTTGGAATTTCTGTGACAATGGAAGGGAAGTTGCGATCAAAAACAGCTGAATATCGACTGTGGCTCAAAGACACGAAGAAGGAACCAACACCGAAAAAGGCCAAATCCAAAAGCACGGTGATCAATGTCAAGAATTCATCAAGTGAAGAAGAGTTTACCGAAGGAGATGAGAAGCCAAAAAGAGTGTTGAAGAAATCGACGACTACATTGAACAAAGATAGATCAAATTTCATCAATGAATATATCAAGAAGAATGGTGTTGTGGCACTCTCAGAAATAAGAAGAGAGTTGTCTGAACACGAAAGAGTTGTGGAACACCACAAGACCATTGTTCGGTTGTTACAGCCCGGTATCATAAAAGATGTGTTTGAAACGATTGAGCTCAAAATACCACTTGAGACTGGTGGGTTCCGAGCAACGAAAGTAGTGGTGATGAAAGATCTTGAGAATAAAAGTGAAAAGATTAAGGAGTACATCAAGAAGTCGTCCAAAGTGAAACCGATGGTCAAAAAGGAAGTTGAAACTGTCATTGAGATTGACAAAGAAAGTGTCAAGCAAGAAGGTAAAAAGGCTGTTGTAGTCAAGAAGTATTTTCATGGTCAGATCAAACCATTGATGATCAGAGTCAAAACCTGTTTTATTGAATTATGGGAATACATCTTTAAGAAAGGATCCCCGATGGTTGAGTATGAAGGGCAACCCGAAATGCTATTTGGTAATGTACAACAGTGTAAAGAGTGGTTACTCACAACAAACTTCAAGAAGATAGAAATTGGGTTGATGGACTTTGTTGAGAATTTGGAAGTTGGGATGTTCAATAAGTTGATTGGCATTGCAAAGGACGCCTGTCCGTTTGATGAGGAGGTCATCGAGTCTGGGGTGTTAGTGAAACAGTTACAAGAAGACCATAAAAGATTCATTTTAAGCAACAAAGTGTGGATCAAACGATTGAATGTTATTATCAGTGTGTTGCGGGATATGCGACTGATTGAGAGGAACTTGGAGTCCAATCAAAGTGATGGGATGGTGCTTGTCTCTGTGGGGACATTTTTCACGCAAAACACGAAGACGGGGGAGGTGAAAGCATATCTCACGCCATTTGAATCGAATGTGTTAGTGAACCAATTTTGGGTCAGTGTTGAAATGAAATCACTTCAACTTCCCACAGTCGACCCAGTTACAAACACTTCAAATGTTGTTGAGAGTATTGTTATTGAGGGGCTCCAGAATTTGGCCATTTTGAGTAAAGCAACGTTTTGGCAGACTGGATCGACTGTTTTAACAAAACCACAGCGGGCAATGATCTACCACCATATATACAACCAAGACGACAGTTTCGATTCGGAAAAGTTGTGCAGCGAAACGGGATTTTCCGAACAACAGTTGGCGTATGTGATAAACAAGTTCAGAGAGAAGTGTGCGAAGCGAGGGCAGCCTGTTGTGGACAAGAAGTTTAAGATCAGACGATATACAATTCCGATAAAGAAGAAGAAAACAAAGAAGGTAGCCGACAAGGAATGGTCTAAAGAGGAAGACAGACGTATTTTATTGGCGTACCGCATCTATTGGTTTGAAAAGAATGTCGAACAAAAGGAGGGAGACAGTCTACCCGATTATTTACCGGAAGGAATTTTGAAGAAGTTGACGAAAAAGGTCAACGCGAAGATGAAACAGATCGATCAAAGACTTAAAGAGCTTGTTGGACCGGATTACCAAGAATTTCTTGAGGAGGTCTTTGGTGAGAATGTCGATGACATCGACGACATAGAAGATGAAGTAATAGAAGGGAGGAGAAAAGAGAAGGAAATGTTTGTGACGGACTACTCGATAGATTTTACTAGTGTGGAAGAGAGAGATGCGATGTACCAGACGATGGCGTTGTTGAGAATGCCACAAGAAGACGTCAATAAAGCGGGGATTGATGTTATTAAGAAGTGCGAAGAACTCAAAGCCCCTATCAATCAACTCTTTGAAGGAAAATTTGTGAATAAAGACAAGAACCCACTGAACCCATTTTCTATGGCTTTCACACAGAAATTCTTGGGGATGCTCGAGTCGAAGAAACTCCCCGTTTCATTTTTTGAGAAGATCACAAGTGACAAAGTGAAGGGATGGGAAGTTATTCAACAATCCGATTTGAATTCGGAGACCATTGACAAAATCATGAAAATATGTGCGTTGAGGGAAGATTTCGACATGTTCATATTTCCATCGGAAGAGAAGCGAAGTGAGGAGATGGGCAAAAGTGTTGTTTTCTTTTGTGAGACAGACACCAACAACTTTTTATACGAGAAAGGGATTAACTGGAGTAGTTCGTTGTTGTACACTGAAGAACTTGGCATATTCAGTAAGTCACAACTTGGAATTCTGGAAACAATTAAGTCGGTGTTTGAAAAACTCGAGGAAGTACCTGGGAAGCAAAGCCCCACACTGAATGTATTTGTTGAAATGTTCCCAACACTTGCGAATAACAAGCGAGACATGTCGTTTGTCATTGCTTTTTTGTTATATAAAGGTGTCATTGTGAGAGAGTTAACGAAGCAATTGTTCAATACCAAAGTGATACAAAACAACGAGGAGAACAAAAGCGATGTGATTTATCCATGGTCTAAATTTGATGGGACTCTCGACGTCGAGTTGTACAACTCGTTGCTGCATCGAGTCAGGTGTTTTGTATTCCGGTATCCCTCCATTTCAGTTGTTTGTTCTTCCAATTTTCATACATCAAACAGTGAATTAACAACAAGGAAAATTTGTGTAAGGAGTTTCCCTTTTCAAAAGAAGAGACTCTTTGCTTGTTGCAGCAGTTAGTGGATGAGGGTGTGATTGAAATAAAGGCGAACGGATTGTTTGAAGATGGACTTTACCTCTTCCCGAAGTGTGACTCATTCTTTGAATAATTATAATTCCATTTATTAATATATTTATTAGTATTACATTCTATTTCAATGGTTTAATATATTATTGAGGAATTTGTTTATTTTTTAGGGTTTTTTCACTATTTAAGGGTTTTGAAACTCGAGAAAGTATTCAACACTTCACAAGAGTGGAGACACTCACTTTTTGGTTTGTGGACTATTGATTTCAGATGATGACAAGATTCTTGGAGATCCGAATAATGAGGACAACCTTTTTAACTGATGAAAAGTATTAACCACTTAGATTCTATATTCATAGTCTCATGTAAACAGTATTTAATTTATTTATTTAACTTTCTTTTTTTATTTGAGTTGAAAATAGATGTCTATTATTAATAATATTGTTCATTATTGAAATATGGCCAGACAACACTAAAATAATTGACTTTTAAAAATTATAAAGAAAATAATCAAGAAAATTACAAACAAAAACCACCCACAAACTAAATTTTTCCATTGAAAATATCCAAGAGTATTTTCCCTTTCTTCTTTAACTCGTCATCAGTAATGCTTTTGTGCTCGACAGGACAAGATACATTTGCTTCTGTTGTACTTTGTCTTGGCTTTGCGACTTTTGCTCTGACCATAAGTCTTCCATCGCTTTCAATACTAAATACAACCTCCACTTCAACATAGCCAGCTAGCATTGTAGGTAAATGGGTGACTTTGAAATCATTCAACTTTTTCTGATCTTCATAGATTTGAAGAAGTAAAGTGGTTTGATAGTCTGACGTTGTTACAAAGGTTTCTTTGTATTTACAGGGTATAGGACTTCCTGCTTTTAACATGTTAAATATCTTCATTTTGTTAGTCAGAGGGTCTTTCATTTCAAGACCAATGTTTTTTGCTAACAGCTCATCGCCAGCCAAAGAAAATAAGCCGGACTCGACTGCATTTGCACACTCCGTACACCCACGACATACAATCAATTCATAGTCCACGTTTTGTGTGTCAACTTTCGACATCCCAAAGTAGTCGACTAACAACTTCTTAACGGCTGGACACTTACAAGACCCACCAACCATCAAGACTTTGTCAATTGAACTCCTTGACCCAACGACAGCAATTGCTTGTTTAATCAACTTTTGACATCTCCCAAAAAG